CTGGCCAAGGGCACCTCTCCAGGCTGCTCCAGTGGGGGATGGAGGGGAAGGGAGACCAGGCCAGGATGGGGCACAATTACTGGAACAGGGCGGAGAGCTCCTTGGGTGGGCTGGGAGCTTTGCCCAGCCAGCAGCTTGGCCCTGAGATCCGGAGCCAGCAGAGCACTTCCGAGAGGCAGGCCCGGCATGCGGTGCCCCCCCGGGGCAGGCAGCGAGGTGCTGACCTGGGGCCCCAAGGACCCAGCCCCCGCCGCAGGGGCATCCTGTGCGCTAGGAGCGCCGCGCCCTGGCCAGCCCCTGCCGCGAGCTCCCCCCGCCGACCTACCCAGCTCTTCTTCTTCTTCTTCTTGGCGTCGGCATCCTTGCCGCTGCCGATGCTGGAGTGGCTGGGGATGCTGCTGAGGCTGGAGATGCTGTCGGAGGAGTTCTGCCTCTTGATGCGCAGCTCTGGGGCCCGCGGGGAGACGACAGAGAGAGGCTGAGACCCTGCGGGCTGGCAGAGAGCCCCCTGCACCATCCACCCTGCTCTGCTCCCTGGCAGAGAGCGTTCTCCATAGCGCTTCCCTGGACTTCGCTTCCCGCTCGGCTAGTGCCGCTGGAGGGGCCTCATCTTCCCCTCGGGCAGGTCTGTGCTCCGAGACAGTTTCCCCCATCCCACCTCACCTGGGTCTAGAGCATTCTTTTTAATTTGGGGGGGTAGAGGGGAAGGACCAGACTGCCACGGTGGGGAATGAGGGCAGCACACAAGCCAAGCTATTGGTTCAGGCTCTCGGCAGACTCAGGCAGGCAGATCTGCGTCAGTTACACTTGGCTCCGGCTTTTAAAGCACCAGAGGAGCTAGAAACACACGTGGGACGAGAGCTGCGATTCCTGCAGCAAAGGGCCTGGGTTCCCTGGAAAGTCCTGCCCCCAGGCTGTACGAGTTAGACGCGGCGCTTCAAACGCTCAGCCCCAGAACCTGGGGGAGAGTTCCCCGGTTATTTTGGCGCTGGGCTGCCACAGGAATCCAAGGGGGCTCAGCCCCCTCAGCGCACTGCAAGTCCTGGCTTTGGTGTTGCCATTTACACCCTCTGTAACTGACAAGCCCCTCTTGGTCCAGCATCTCGCTGCCACAGGAGATGCTGGCAGACCACACCGGGTGCTCGGGTTGCAGGCCAATGCTCCTCTGGCTCAGTGTGACTCTCTCCTCCCCGGGCTGGAAAGAGGCACGCAGGCATATTGCACCAAGCGCCCGAGGCCCAGGCGAGCGGGATACGGATCCGACACGCGCCAGGGCTCCCCGTGGCTGCAGAGGTGGGAGAGGCTGTTCCACGCTGGGGCAGGAGAGTTCTCCCTTGGAGAAAACACAAGGCAGAACCTCTCCTTTCTTCCCTGGCCCGGGGCGGCTCTGGATCCCCTGCCGGGAGGAGCACGTAGCCCAGGGGCCAGATTACAGGCCTGGCGCTGGCCCCACAGCAGCCCGGCCCCTGGCTCACCTTTGGGCGTGACGTCAGTCCCATTCAGAGCCCCTTGGATCACAGCTTGGGCCTCTGAGTTCTTCTTCTTCAGGAAGTCAATGGTCTCCCGCAGGTCCAGCAGCTCCGTGTCCTGGCGGAAGCAGCACACGATGGATACCCCTTGGCCGGAGATCCCGGGACCCCTCGCCTATCGCGAACCTCTGCGCGCAGCAAGCACCTCTCCCCCAGCCAGGACACATGCCAGCGCCTTGCTGAGGGCCCGGTGGCTACCAGCCCCAGGGCTCATAGCCAGCGTCCTGCAGGGTGCCCAAGGGGAAAGGCAGGTCCTGTCACTGCCCGGGATGACAGCAGGGCAGCCCACGGCCCGGGCTGGCCCAGAGCCAGGGACCCAAGAGGAGAAGGCCAGGCCCAGCAGGGACGAGTGAGGGTGTTACGTGTGGGGACAGATGTGGTCTCCAGTCGGCCCCCAGGACACGAGCTCCCCCAGGATCAGCCCGAGGCACAGCCAGGCTCTGGTGAGGACATAACAGGCTCTGTCCCCAGGAACATCAGAACGGCCAGGCTGGGTCAGACCAAAGGTCCATCCAGCCCGGTGTCCTGTCTGCCCACTGTGGGCAGTGCCAGGTGTCCCAGAGGGAGTGACCAGAAGAGGGACTCATCACGTGACCCCCCCCATGTCACACCATCCCTGCCCACCGTGGCTAACAGCTATTAATGGACCGAACCTCCATGAATGTATCTAGTGCTTTTTTGAACCCTGTTGAAAGCCAGGACTTTACAACAAGGAGTTCCACAGGTTAACTATCCATTGAGTGGAAAAATACTTCCTTTTGTTCTTTGTAAACCTGCTGCCTATTCATTTCATTTGGTGACCCCCAAGTCTTGTGTTATGAGAATAAATAGCATTTCTTTATTTACTTTCACCACACTGGGCGTAATTTTATAAACCTCTATCGTATCCCCTCTTTGTCTCCTCTTTTCTAAGCTGAAAAGTCCCAGTCTTTCTAATCTCGCCTCATATGGAAGCCGTTTCATATCCATAAGAGGTTTTCCCATCAACCGCAGCTGTTTCTAGTAGGCTGGCTGGGGCACTGTGGTGCGCGGGCCTGCTCCTGAACCAAGTGCCAGCGGGCCCATGGGGTGGGTGCTCTTTGGGGAGATGAGATTCCCAGGGAGCTGACTGCAGTGTTCCCTGGAAGCAGTGGGCTTGGGCGGCCACCCAGGAGAGACTGAAATGGCACCCAGCTGATTAGCAGAGCTCCCCCAGCTGGCAGCATGTGTTTCTAGAGGTGGTGCACAAATGCACAACTTGGTGCGCAGAACAAAATTTATTCCACCCATGGATAGAAAAAGTTAGAGGGAACACTGGCTGACAGTGCCAAGGTCTATCCCCCAGCCCTGCAGCTTGGGGGGTGCCAACACCTGCTGCCCGGCGCCCCGCCAGCTGCCCAGCTCTCCCTGCCCAGCACCCACCTTCTCTTCCGCTGTCTCCGCCAGCTGGCGCAGCCGGGACGTCATGTTCACCAGGCTCTGCTCGAAGGCCGCCACGAGGTTTGCCTGAAAGGAGACAGGAGAGGGCGTTGCGCTCAGAGCACGGCGGGGAGCCCAGCCGCCGGGGGAGCCCCCAGCCAGCCCCACAAGTGCCCATGTGGGGGAGCAGGCATGCGGCATCCCCCACCACCTCCCAGCACGCTGCTTTGCTGCCTGCCCTGCCCAGAGCCCTGGCACGCCCAGCGCACAGAGCGGCCGCAGAGCCGTAGTGGGGAGGAGGCTCCCCCAGCAAAGGGGGCCGGGCGCGGAGGGAACGCAGACCCACCGAGTCTAGGGGAGGTGCCATGGCCGGGGTGGGGAGGGGCCCGAGCACGTGGCCCTTGTGGGAGGGTGCCCCTCGG